ATTCTATTTTTTGTTTTTATTATTATTGTCTTAATTCTACTATTATTGCTACTGGTGATACTGTCACATAGCAATATACTGTTTTTGTGGACTGATGTATCTGCTGCTGCTGTTACACCTGAATTTCCCCTCTGCGGSAMAATAAAGTCTGTTTCTATTCTTCTCTATTCTTACCCAGTATGCTTTGCTGAATCAATCTAATAGCTTCATTCATGTGACAGGTTTTGTTCATTATAAAAACTAAACAGCCAACACTATTTTTACAGTCCATATTTTACAGTTTAAGTGCATGTTATTCAAATAATGTCTTATATTACAAGTTATCTTGGATGCCTTATTTATTTCTATGTATCTTTTTATTGTTAGTGGAAATAAGGAAATTGTGTAAGTTAGTATTTTTGTTAGTTGTGCCCACCACTGTTTATGTGTGTTTTTGTTCATTAAACTTTTTAATTATTTATTTTAACACACCTGCCCCTACTCTGACACGCTGGATTTACACTGTGTCGGCTCATTTCTGCTGCGCTGCTGCATGAACTCCTCAATAAAAACAGACTCTTTATAATCAATGGGCCTCATGCAAGAATCGTTCATACAAACAGATTTCTTCTTAAGTTGTGAGTACGAGTGATTTAGGAGAGCTTGTCACATTCACAAATTTTCTCGTATTGTAAGATTTTTTTCAGATACAAACAAAATTCTCATGTGGTCCTGATGTCGTATATTTTACGAGCGGTCAGTCTGCTGTTATCCAGACAGATTTTCTTCACTAATAACTTTGTATTTCATTAGTTTGGAGATGTTTTGAGTTGAAAATAATTATGTTGACAATAGGCTATTCTGTTTGAATTATAATTATAATTTTAAATGCATTAATGTAGATTAACAATATAAATTGATTGTCAAGGATGAGGAAGAGAAAGTTTGCATTTTAGCTTTAAATCAACAAAAGAAAAAAGAAAAGAACTACCTTACCCAGGATCTGAGCTATTTCCTCCCACGAATTTGTTGCTTGCTGAAAGTCCTTATATTCCTTCATTGACGCATTRTAAAGTTTTCTAATCTCCTCCATGAGACRTTCTTCAAAATTTGACTCCATTTCATCCACAAACGACACCAATTCTCAACTTTATCAGCTTGGTGTCACATCCAAAACAGTACTCACCAGGCAGTTTACTGTGCGACACCGAGGACGCGGACGTAAAAAAAAAGATCTCTGCGTGGACCAGTCCGGCGGACGGCCGCTTCGGGTCTGCACTGAGTCTGCATTGAGTCCACCTCGAGTCCGCGCGGACCTCCGCGGAGAGAAGTACGCCCGAGTATGTGTGGGGCCTTTATTCAGCACATCAGCTATTCATGCAAGACTGTCTGCTATTTTCTCCAAAGTGCCAGACAAATTTTGGAGACATTTTAAAATGCTTTCTTGATTCGTCATAACCGCATCTGACCTCTTGTGTGCGTGGGAGACGACGGGGGACTGGCACATCGGTCTGAGGTGTGGCTCATCTTCCGAATAAMTGAAATTATTTAACACAGTTCTGTCCCCATTTCTTCCACATAACTTAAATTAAAAAAATATTTGACCAAAGGACAAGAGCAGGACTAGAGAAATAAGAATATGATTTAGATTTTTATTTCTGTGACTGTATAGCAACCCATGGGAGACACGGCATTAATAGCAGTCATTCATTCCTTGGCTTTAGCAGGTCCTTTAATTCCACAGCTGACGCTGCTAAAAATGACAGATTTTCTTTTCTGGATCTCTGAGAGCAGTTCAATCTTCGAACTCATGAAGTTCATGAGCTTTCATGAGCAAAAAGTTCATGAACTTTTTACTTTGTGCTGTCATTTTCGTGAACACTTCCTGGTATGTAGGGCAGGAAGTGTAGCCTTGTATGGTGTTTTGGGGGTGAATTTCTTCTCCTCATGCACATGCACCTGAATACATACAGGTGGCATTCATCATGTTTACGCTGCTCATTTATACACTTTTCCTAAAGACAGAAGCGTTTGCTGAATGTGACGTGACATGTTCATACAAGCCCTTCGTACGAAAAAAATTAAGAGAAATTTAAGATAAGCATATGAAAATGTTCTTGCATGAGGCCCAGTGAGAACCTTTACACTACCTACAGGGTGGTGGCATGTGCACGGCCATTTGCCAAAAATACAATCAAGTCTATTTTTGCTGAATGCATGTGCAGAGTCAGTCAACAATGATAAAACTACAACTGTCTCGGCTTGGGGGGTGCACCCTGGGGGCCGGGCCCTCTGTGCCCATGCCTGTGCTTGCCCTAGCGCAGCGGGTGCCGGCGGGGGCCTGCGGGGGCCTGCGTGCTCGTCGCTGCGGGCCATTGTGGGGCTGCTGCGTGTGGTCGCTGGTGGGATTTGTCATGGTCTGTGTTTATTTTCCTTAGTTTTCTAGTGTTTTCAGTGTTCCCCTGTGTTTCTCAGCCCAGCTG